CCCCCCCGCGCGAGCATCGCGGGTCCCCCTTCTTGTCTTTTCTAATTGTGGGAAGTAAACTGAGACTCCCTATTCATCTCCTCTCAGGCATGGGGGTAACCTGGAACTATCTTCCTTGGGAAGTAAGTTCAGGAAGGGACGGCTGGTAGCATCGCACAAGTATATACGCCTTTCTCATGTTAAAATAAAATAACCCAGCTTTCTGTCTGGATGGACAGGCACACGACTAAAACAATGTTGCTTGCCTCCATCGCAGACCGACTCTTGTCACTAGCCTGGGAGAATCGATTTCCACTTACTGATTAAAAAAAAGGATCCAAAGTCAGCAATTACCCTTTTCTGTCTCAACTGCTTTCCCTTCGCTGGACCCACAGAGACATTTAGTCTGAGGGTGTCTACCAAACTTCCGTTAAGCACTTGACCACAGCGTCGCGACGTGTTGCTTAAGTCTGAAAATTCTGTGCGTGGGACCTGTCTTATTATGAAAAGCATTTCCAAATTACCTCTTCATGCCTTCCATAATCAGCGAGTATGCTTGAGACTCCTGACACAGCACTGGTTTTCCTGGAAGGGGAGTGAGGACAGGAAATCCCTTCTGATTCCAGACAATTGGAATCGCCCTATGCAATAACAGCACTTAGAAGAGTATTTCCAGAGCAGTGTCTCCTGCAGGAGATGTAACCAAGGGACTTGTGGTACCTTAAAGAATAAGCAGGTTTTTAAAAATTCTAGTGTGGGTTTTTTGTAGACGAGAGCCATGTTTGCTGCGTGTGAATAGGAATTAGAAAGTGCACTCTAAACCAGTGTTTCTCGATCTGTGGGTCAGGACCCAAAATTGGATTAATGACAGCCACGGGAATAAGCAGCTTTAAAAGGAGATTAGATAGATTCATGGAGGATGTCTATCAACAGCTGCTACTGTTGGGGAAATTAAAAGTCTAGGAGCTTTTCCTAGGAATCCCACCCAGCTTGATTGGGCGGGGTTGTTTTTTTTGAAACTGGCAGGAACCCCATAGTTTGAGAGAGGAAAAACACTGTTCCAAAGTGAAAACCATTTATTGGGGGGGGGGGGGAACACACTGCACAATTTTTCAACCAAGGGGCGATTTCAGTATTCATTTTACAGAAGGGATCAGACAAAGGGATCGTAGGAAAAGAGGTGCAGGAGCTCCTTAGCATAACTCATTAGCATTACTTATTTGCATATGCCACACCCCCTGACATCACCAGAAGTGTGTCAGAAGGCTAGATGCATACATTGTATTGGCTCATGCCTACTCTTATGTAGGGATGCTTGAACAGCTGCCGGTTTGGTTGACATCCTGTTCACCAACTACAAACAAGGAGCTGGTTTTTCATTGACAGGGGTTGTCTGTTCACAGCTGTTTAGCAGGTTGCTCTGTTGTATTCCTTTCCAACCATGCCGTATGATGCCACTGATTTTGCATGCATGCACATTCTCACAGCCTGAGTTCTACCCCACCCCTCCGCTCCCCTCCCTGCCATCCCATCCTTACTGTGCAACTGCTCTGCTCAGCAGGCAAGTCTTTAAACAGACAATTAAAATCAGTCACAAATCATTTAAAAAATCAGTCATAAATAAATGCTGTGTTTTAATAAAATGCCTACCCCTGGGTATTCATCTGAGTGGTCCCTCGTAATGCTAATGGTTGCCAATCAATTTGAATGGACCAATCTTTGTATGTGTGCAGTTTTGCAAAAACCTGATATAGACCTGTTCAGAAAGTATTTGCAGCTGTTGGGCAGAAACCAAACAGGCTGGGTGATCAGCTTACACCTGATCAACACCTATATAGTTGCTGTAGATTTTCTGGGTTGTGTGGCCCGGGTCTTGGCATTGTAGAACCTGACGTTTCGCCAGCAGCTGTGACTGGCATTCTCAGAGGTATAACACAGAAAGATGGAGTACTCTCTGTGTCAAGGTGAGAAGAAAATGGTAGGCAGGTAATTTATATCCACTCCAGAAGGTGCGGTAGGGCCGAGTCATCTCTTGTAGGAGTTCCCCAGGCTATGAACATGCTAATGGATGAGCATTCCTGAGGAGGTTCTTTTGTATGTGGATTGGCTGTTGAAATTCTAATCTTATCTGTAGTGTTATTGTCAGATGTAGAGCCTTTTGTGTTTTTCAGGACAGGAAACCATGCCCTTACTGCTTAAAAACAAATAGTGCAGTTATCATTCATTTAGGAATTCTTATCTGTTTAGGAATGTATTCTGTCCACTCTCGCAAGACCTGAACCACGGTGTTGGCAGAGGGCCCTTAGCATCTCAAACACTGATGTTAAATATCTTTAGAATCCCGATTAGCTGTCAGTCAAGAGAGTGATTCAAATGTGGCATTCGCTGCCAGAGGATGTAGTGATGGTCACAGGAATAAACAGCTTTAAAAGGGGATTAGATAGATTCATGGAGGAGAAGTCTATCAATGGCTACTAGCCATGGTGACTGGGGGGAACCTCCACATTCAGAGGCACTAAGCCTCTGAATTCCAGGGCCAGGAGGCAGCATCAGGGGAAGGCCTCGGCCCCTATGCCCTGTTGTTGGACCTCCAGAGGAACTGTTTGGCCCCTGGGTGAGACAGGATGCTGGACTAGGTGGACCACTGGTCTGATCCAGCAGGGCTCTTCTGACGTTCTTATGAAGGCCTCGGCCTCTCTGCCCTGTTGTTGGCCCTCCAAAGGAACTGACTGGCCACTGTGTGAGACAGGATGCTGGACTAGGTGGACCACTGGTCTGATCCAGCAGGGCTCTTCTGATGTTCTTATGAAGGCCTGGGCCTCTCTGCCCTGTTGTTGGCCCTCCAGAGGAACTGGTTGGCCACTCTGTGAGACAGGATGCTGGACTAGGTGGACCACCGGTCTAACCCAGCAGGGCCTTTCTTATACTCATATTTCGTAATATCACTTGCTTGGGGTTCATATCGGGGACAGTTGCTCCCTTTGTGCGATGTTTTGTTGGTTTCTCAAAGACATTTGGTAACCACTGTAGAAGACGGAATGCTGGGATTGATGGGTGCTGAGGTCATAGGTCGCCCAGGGCAGGCAAAAAAACCTCGGGCCAGCCTTGGATGGGTCATAAGGACCTAAGAGACGCCAATGTTGGATCAGGCCACTGGCCCATCCAGTCCAACACTCTGTGACACACAGTGGCCAAAAATACCAGGCGCCATCAGGAGGTCCTGATTTGAACTCTGAACTTGTGGATCACCGTAGCAAAACGGTTGGGAACGGCCGCTCAGCCAGGATGAAAACTTGGTATTCTTTAAGGTGCCACAAGACCCCAAGACGTTCTTTCCTTGGAGGAGTAGCGGTTTCTGACTGCTGTGACCAGAGTTGCCATTTCTTGGCGGGGTGGGGCCTGGGGAGGGTGGGGTTTGAGGAGGGGAGAGTCCTTCTGTGGCGGAGTGGGGAGTCAAACCTGGGCTTCCCAGGTCCTAAGTCAGCCGATCTAACCACTACACCGTGCTGTCTGCTAATGAACATTGGTAGGCAAAGCTGCACAAAATCACCCGTGCGTTTTTTTCCCCACGTAACCATGAAATGCCCTCAACAGGCTCCTCCAAGAGTGAAGCACTGAAGAAGTCTCCAGGCACAGCTTGTCCCGCCGTCTGCTCTGAATCACGGGTGAACGAAACAGTTGGCAGTTCCAGTTGGGTACGACCGCCGACAGGCTCCGACGTGGCACCGTTGTCACCAGTAAATAGTAGGTATATGTAAATCCAGGAGAAACCCCTCCTCCAGTAAGAACATCAGAAGAGCCCTGCTGGATCAGACCAGTGGTCCACCTAGTCCAGCATCCTGTCTCACACAGGGGCCGACCAGTTCCTCTGGAGGGCCAACAACAGGGGCAGAGAGGTCGAGGCCTTCATAAGAACACCAGAAGAGCCCTGCTGTGTCAGACCAGTGGTCCATCTAGTCTAGCCTCCGGTCTCACACAGGGGCCAACCAGTTCCTCTGGAGGGCCAACAACAGGGCAAAGAGTCTGAGGCCTTCATAAGAACATCTGAAGAGCCCTTCTGGATCAGACCACTGGTCCATCTAGTCTAGCATCCTGTCTCACAGTGGCCAGCCAGTTCCTCTGGAGGGCCAACAATTGGGCACAGAGTTGGAGGTCTTCTCCTGATGTTACCTCCTGGTTCTGGGATTCAGAAAATCAGTGCCTCCGAATGTGAAGGTTCCCACCAGTCACCAAGGCTAGGAGCCACTGGTAGACTTATCCTCTGTGAATCTATCTAATCCCCTTTTCAAGCTGTTTCTTCCTGTGGCCACCACTACGTCCTCTCGTGGCAAAATTCCACATTGTAATCACTTTCTGTGTAAAGAAGTATTCCTTTTAGTACATCCTTAACTTAACTTAACTTAACTGCCTATCAACTCAAGTTCTAGTATTTTGGGAGAGGGAGGAAGAGTTCCCTTTGTCAGTTCTATCCACCCCATGCATAATTTTAGAAACCTCCATAATCTCCCCTCTTAGTCATCTCTTTTCCAAACTGAGAATCGTAGAATCGCAGAGTTGGAAGGGGCCACACAGGCCATCTAGTGCAGCCCCCTGCTCAGTGCAGGATCAGCCCAGAGAATCCCTGACGAGGGTTCGTCCAGCTGCTGCTTGAAGACTTGCCAGGGAGGGGGAGCTCACCACCTCCCTAGTAGGTAGCTCATTCCCCTGTTGCACAACTCTGACTGTCAAAAGGCTTTCCTAAAATCCAGCCAGTACCTTCCCGCCTTGAATTCAAACCCATTCTTGCGAGTCCTCTCCTCTGCAGCCAACAGGGACAGCTCCCTGCCCTCCTCTAAGCCCTTCAGAGCCTTCAAGGGGGCAATCCTGTCCGCCTTCAACCTCCTCTTCTCCAGACGGAGCATTCCCAAGTCCCTCCGCCTTTCCTCAGAGGGCTTGGTCTCCAGGAAGTCCGAGATGCTTCAGCCCTTTCTCATAGGGAAGGTGCTCTAACCCCGTAATCACCTTGGAGAGCCAGTTCAGTGTAGTGGGTAAGTGTGCGGACTCTAACCTGGGAGAGCCGGGTTTGATTCCCCACTCCTCCACTTGCACCTAGCTGGATGACCTTGGGCAAGCTGTAGTTCTGATAAGAGCTGTCGAAAGAGCTCTCTCAGCCCCACCTACCTCACAGGGTGTCTGTTGCAGGGAGGGGAAGGGAAAGGAGTTTGTAAGCCGCTCTGAGACACCCTGGATAACCTTGGGCAAGTCGTAGTTCTGATAAGAGCTGTCCTTGAAAAAGAGCAGTTTCTGTCAAGAGCTCTCTCAGCCCCACCTACCTCACAGGGTGTCTGTTGCAGGGAGGGGAAGGGAAAGGAGTTTGTAAGCCGCTCTGAGACACCTTTGGGTAGTGAAGGGCAGGGTATAAATCCAATCTCCTCTTCTTCTCTTGAGTCAGTTTGGTGTCGTGGCTAAGTGCGCAGGCTCTAATCTGAGAGAACCAGGTTTGATTCCCCACTCCTCCACTTGCACCTGCTGGATAACCTTGGGCAAGTCGTAGTTCTGATAAGAGCTGTCCTTGAAAAAGAGCAGTTTCTGTCAAGAGCTCTCTCAGCCCCACCTACCTCACAGGGTGTCTGTTGTGGGGAGGGGAAGGGAAAGGAGTTTGTGAGCTGCTCTGAGACTCCTTTGGGTAGTGAAGGGCGGGGTATAAATCCAGTCTCCTCCTCCTCCTCCTCCTCCTCTTCTTCTTCTTCTTCGCCCTCTTCTGCACTTTTTCCAGCACAGTGATATGGTGACCAACACTAGACACAGTACTCCAAATGACACTGCACCATAGATCTATTCAGGGGCATGATAATATCAGCCATTTTATTCTCAATCCCTTTCCGAATAAGATGCCTAGTTTCTTGATGGTGCCTTCTCTGAATGATCATGAGAATTGTTGGAAATTTACGAGATGTGAGGTTCTGAGGATGATGTGGCTATGCAGTTCTGACTTTGATAAAACAGCTGGCAAAACGGGATTTCAAGCTAGCGACCCGTCAGTCGTAACAGCCGGAACACTGAAGTCTTCAAACAATTAACTTTGTATAGAAAATTAGCTGACACAAAGACGATCAGCTTTGTTTGCATATTATTTTGGTCTACATCTCAACGAAGGAAAAGCATCACAGCATTGTGCCTTTGGACTTTTGATCGTTTAATTGAGATCGTTTTGCCCATACCAATTGGTAACGTGGTGATATATGGATTCCTATTGTGGCATGAGGGCCGTGGTGACTCAGAGATTAAGATGCTGAGCTGCAGACCGGAAGGTCTGTAGTTCAGCAGTTCGAGACCCAAGTGCCGCATGACGGAGTGAGCTCCCATCTCTGGCCCCAGCTCCTGCCAACCTAGCAGTTCGAAAGCAAGAAATTGCAAGTAGATAAATAGGTACCCCTTTGGTGGGAAGGTAACAGTGTTCCCTGCGCCTTGGCATTTAGTCATGCCGGCCACATGACTACAGAAATGTCTTCAGTGTGGTGTAGTGGTTAAGTGTGTGGACTCTAATCTGGGAGAACCGGGTTTGATTCCCCACTCCTCCCCTTGCACCTGGCTGGATGACCTTGGGCAAGCCATAGTTCTGATAAGAGCTTTTCTTGGAAAATGAACCATTTCTGTCAGAGCTCTCTCAGCCCCATCTACCTCCCAGGGTGTCAGTCTGTTGTGGGGAGGGGAAGGGAAAGGATTTTGTAAGCCGCTCTGAGACACCTTTGGGTAGTGAAGGGCGGGGTAGAAATCTAATCTCCTCTCTTCGGACAGCACTGGCTCTTCGGCTTGGAAATGCAGATGAGCATCGCAGCCCTAGAGTCAGATCCAACTAGCTTTCAAGCAAGGGAAACCTTTATTGTTGAATGCATATGAATTGTATTGTTGCTGGGTAGTTTATTTAGAGTTACTCAATGGGGTTATGGCTGCTTGAAGACTGCCAGTGAGGGGGGGAGCTCACCACCTCCTCAGGCAGCCCGTAGCACTTCTGAACCAGTCACAAAACGATCTATGCACATCTTGTCTGTGGGCGATGACCATGCCTGAACTACAGAAAGTGTTTTTGGGTTCAAAAGAATCTCAGGGAACTCTCTCTCTCTCTCTCTCTCTCGTCTGTCTCCTGATTTTCCGTATTAGAAAAATTCGGGTGTGTTAGATGTCAGTCAGAGTGTCACGTGGCTTTTCGGTGTCAGCTGTGTGGCTTCCTTTGCTGCCTGCCCTGCTGGAAGAAAGTCTTCAAGGTTGGCTTCGTTTTTTTTGGGGGGGGATAGTTTTTGCTTTGTTTTTTTCTCAAAACAGCCGTGACTTAAAGATGGCTCCCAATTTACCAAAGTTTTGAGTCCAGTGGCACCTGTAAGAGCAACAAAGTTTCATTCTGGGAGTGGCTTTTGTGCGCATGTGCACGTTTTCGAATCTGAAGATGCGCGCATGCACACGGAAGCTGATACCCAGAATTAAACTGTGTTGGACTTCAAAGGTGCCCTACTGGGCTCAGGTATTGTTCTCTGGCTTCAGACCCACGTGGCTACCGACCTGAATCTACCCGTATCTACCAGTATGGCATTTATGGCCATCTCAGAGGGTACAAGACAAATATGGACAAATACGACCCAATCAGAAACCAAGTATGAAGACAACAGTCGTGAGAGTCTGGCCCACAAATCGAGCAGTCACCAAGACTTGCAAACAAAAAGCTTCCTATGTATTATAATCTAAAGCACTTTTTGTTGTTGTTCAGTCGCACAGTCGAGTCCGACTCTTCGCGGCCCCATGGCCAAGATCTCGCCAGGCCTTCCTGTTTTCCGCCGTCCTCTGAAGTTTGCTCAATTTCATGTTCGTTGCATCTGTGACACTGTCTAAAGCACTACAACATCATTAATAAATCATGAGGAAATCCTTGTGCATAATCAACATCGTCTCCGGATTATATAGCAACGTTTCAGTAATGGATCCCGGGATCCATTTAGAAGCTTAGCAGCATATTTGAGCCTGAACATTCATTGAGATCAGCGTCCTGTTTGAATGTAGTATTCCTTATGTCTTGTTGTCAAGCTCTTCATGAATACAGAGAGCTTTTGTACGACTCTAATATCTCCTGAGGAAGATCCGATTTTGAAACGTTGTTATATAATCCGGAGACGACGTTGATTATGTACCTATGCACAAGGATTTTCTTATGATTTATTAATGATGATGTAGTGCTTTAGGTGAGGTGTAGTGCTTTAGGTGAGCTAGTTTGGTGTAGTGGTTAAGTGCACAGACTCTAATCTGGGAGAAGCGGGTTTGATTCCCCCACTCCTCCACTTGCAGCTGCTGGTATGACCTTGGGTCAGTCACAAGTTCTCTCAGAGCTGTTCTCTCAAGGGAAGTTCTCGAGAGAGCTCTTTCAGCCCCGCCTACCTCCCATGGTTTTTGTTGTGGGGAGGGGAAGGGAAAGGAGTCTGCAAGCCACTCTGAGACTCCTCTGAGTAGTGAAGGGTGGGGTATAAATCCAATCTCTTCTTCTAGATTATAATACATAGGAAGTTTTTTCTTTGCAAGTCTTGGTGACTGCTCGATTTGTGGGTCGGACTCTCACGACTGTTGTCTTTATACTTGGTTTCAGAGGGTAGCCATAGAACAAAGTTTGACTCCAGTGGAACCTTTAAGACCAACAAAGCTTAATTCTTGGTATAAGCTTTTGTGTGCATGTACTTGGTGGAAGAGCTAGATTCGAATCCGGTAGCACCTCAGAAACCAAC